ACAAAGTAGCTATCATTAAAAAAAAAAAAATCTAGGGGCTGGGAAGGTGGTTCAGTGGCAGAGCGCTTGCTTTGCATTCATGAGGCCCTGGGTTCGATTCCTCAGCACCACATAAGCAAAAAGAAAAAAGCTGGAAGTGGTGCTATGGCTCAAGTGGTAGAGCGCTAGCTTTGAGCTGAAGAGCTGAGGGACAGCGCCCAGACCCAGAGTTCAGGCCCCATGAACAGACCCAAAACAAACAAAAAACCCAAAGCTAAGCAAATAACGTTAACAGTCAGTTAATTTTCCATTTTCTGTGGCAATTAAGCAAATTCATTTCAGGTGGGTTCCAGTGGCTCACTCTTATAATCCAGCTTCTCAAGAGGCTGAGATCTCAAGATCTCAATTTAGAGCCAACCCAGGCAGTCAAATCTGTGAGACCCTTATCTTTAACTAGAATAAAAGATCCAGAAGTGGAGATGTGGCTCCAATGGTAAAGCACAAAAGCTGAGCTGGAGGCCCTTAGTCAAGCCCCCAGTACAAGCAGGCATGCACATGCACACACACATGTGAAGAATTAGACAGATGTAACTAAAACTTAAGGTAGTAAGCAAGCTATTTAGTTCAGAGAATTTGAAAAAAACATGCTTATTATTATAGCTGATTCAATTCCATTATAGCAAATTACTTTTAATTTTAAAAATGTACATTTAATGTACTTGAAAACTATGAGCATATGCATGACACTACTTTATGTCCAGAGCTCCTGAGTTGCTCACCTTGTATTTTCCATGATCACAGCCACACAAAGTACTCTCCATGGTATAGCTTCTCTGCACTCCTATTTCCCGCCAAACTACAACACGTGCTGTAGATTCTTTAGATTTTTCCACTACAAAGCTACAGCTGCTCATGCAAAATGCTGGGGCAATGTGGCTCAATATCTTAGGCAATGTCTATAAAACAAAAGTTTGAATAAAATAAACAAATAGTTATCATTTAAGGAAACAGTGGAAGAAATGGTCACATTTACAGTAGTAATATAGAATACAGTATAGCACAGAATACAATCATTTAAGAAAACCATGATTCTCTGGGCAACGGCGGCTCATGCCTACAATCCTAACTACTCAGGAGGCTGAGATCTGAGGACTGCAATTCAAAGTCAGCCCAGGCAAGAAGTCTATGAGACTCTTATCTCCAATAAACTACTCAGAAAAAGCTGGAAGGTAACATGTGGCTCAAGTTGTAGAGCTCTAGCCTTGAACAAAAGAACTCAGAGACAGCAACCAGGCTGAGTTCAAGGACCACGACCAAAATAAAAAAAAAAAAAATCTGGTGGCTCACATCTGTAATTGTAGCTACTCAGGAGGCTGGGATCTGCCAGCCCATGCACAAAAAATAAATAAATAAATAAAAAGACTACCTCTCCAAAATAATCAGTGAAAAGCCATGCTGGAGGCATGGCAAACAGAGCAAGCATGAGACCCTGAGTTCAAATCTTAAAGCTGGCAAAATAAATAAAACAAGGTTGACATCTACCAATACATACATATATATGTATACATATATGTATGTGTGTGTATATATATGTATATGTATATATATATATATATAAACACATTTATAGAAATATGCTTTGAAGGAAGTTTCATAGCACACAGGTAAAAGTGACTACTCAAAGTTAAGGGAACTGAGAGATGACCTACATTTATTAATTTACATATTTCTACTAAATGTCTTCTAATTTTGTTCCAAAAATTGAGAAGGGGAAAGAAGAAATAGAGAACACCAAAAAGGAAGTGTGCTTTCAAATTCTGTAGATAATGGTATGTTACTGAAACATTATTTTGGGAAAATAACCTGGGGCACCTGCTTGAGCCTTGCTATAGCAGGAGAGATGTTCCAACAAGTAGAAAGCACCAGTAAGCCAGACGCTGGTGGCTCACACCTGTAATCCTAGCTACACAGGAGGCTGGGATCTGAGGATCATGCTTCAAAGCCAGCCAGGGCATGAAGGCCGTGATATTCTAATCTCCAATAAACCACCAAAAAACTGGAAGTGGTGCTGTGGCTCAAGTGGTAGAGCAGTAGCCTTGAGCCAAAAAGCTGAGGGACAGTGCCCAGGCCCAGAATTCAAGCCCCACAACCGACCAAAAAAACAAGAAAAAAGAAAGCACAAGGAACTTGAAACAGCAACATCTCAATTCTGTCTAAAACACACCACTGTTCAGCCAAGGCTTCAAGTACATCAACTCACAATCAAGTCTTAGTTGATAGATTTGTACAGAAGCAGTGAGTATTTCTACATCCCTGAGCACTCTAAGGCTCAAAATAGCCTCATATGAAAGTACACTAAAAGCTATAAGCACAGACCAAAAAAGGTAATTGTTATACACTTGTCAGTACATAAAATTAATTCATCTATTCAACAAAAATATTTGCATAATGCCTACTAAGTACTGAAGGTCAAAAGGCAACCAAATAAAGATTGTATTAATCACTTAGCTCAAAACTAGTAATGTACTATCCATAATATTTAGCAGTATTAAAAGGTACTTCAAGAGCTATTAGTTACTTTATTAAATTAAAATCACCAATTTTCTTTCCAAAAGGGACCATCAGAACATGTAATAATAATAGCTTATTTTAGACATTTTATGTAAACCTAAAAGTTATTTTTTTAAAAAAAAAAGCATTAAGAATTTTCATGTAAGGGGTTGGGAAGGTGGCTCAGTGGTAGAGCGCTTGCCTTGCATGCCTGAGGTCCTGGGCTCGATTCCTCAGCACCACATAAGCAAAAAGAAAAAAGCCGGAAGTGGCGCTGTGGCTCAATGGTAAAGCGCTAGCCTTGAGCTGAGGGACAGCGCCCAGGCCCAGAGTTCAGGCCCCATGACCGGACAAAAAAAAAAAAAAAAAAGAATTTTCATGTATCTTTCAGGAACATTTCCCACAATCTGATGACCAAGTGTGTTTGTTCCAATTCTTTTTGTTTTTTGTTTTTTTTGGTTGGTCGTGGGGCTTGAACTCTGGGCCTGGGCGCTGTCCCTTAGCTCTTCAGCTCTAGGCGAGCACTCTACCACTTGAGCTACAGTGCCAATTCCGGTTTTCTGGTGGTTTATTGGAGATAGGAGTCTCACGGTCTCTCCTGCCCGGGCTGGCATTGAACTGCGATCCTCAGATCTCAGCCTTCTAAGTAGCTAGGCGTGAGCCACCAGCGCCCGGCTGTTTGTTCCAATTCTATGAAGGCACTGTTGCACCAAGTTTTTGCTTCTAGTGCTGCTGAAAAGTGTGATGCTATTTTGATACATAATATTTAGTAAAAGGATCTAAGAATTGCAGGCATTTTTTATGCAGAGTTTAAAACTTTCTATATACCATCAATGATCAAATATGGACAGATGATATGTCAAAGAGAAAAGGCTCATTCCCAACTACAACAAAATTCAGAAGTATTTAGGAATAAATCAAGCTAAAATATCACGTACATGGGGAGATTTCATTAAGAATATATGGAAGTGGCACTGTGGCTCAAAGTAGTAGAGCACTAGCCTTGAGCTGAAGAGCTCAGGGACAATGCCCAGTGGCAAAGTTCAAGCCCCATAACCAACAGAAAAAAAAAGACCGTTAAAAGACAACAGGGCTCCAATGGCTCATATCTGTAATCCTAGCTACTTAGAAGGCTGAGATTTGAGGACTGTAGTTTGAAGCCAGCCAGAATAGGAAAGCTCATGAGTTTGTTTTTTTTTTTTTTTTTTATCTCCAATAAACCATTCAAAAGCCAAGAAGTAGAGCTATAGTACAAGTGGTAAAGAACCAGCCTTGAGCAAAATACCTCAGAAATAGAGCCCAGGTTCTGAGGTTCAAGCCCCAGGACGAGCACCAAAAAAGAAAAAGAAAAAAAAAAAGAACATAAAACACAAATTCCTGTAACCCTAACTACTTAGGAAGCTGAGACAATCTCAGCTGGAAGCCAGTCCAGTTGGAGACCAGTCCAGGTGGAAAAGTTCACAAGATTTCTTTTCAACCCACAGTTGAGCATGATAACACATGCCTATCATCCTAGCTATGATCACCCAAGGCAAAAAAAAAAAATTTACCAAGACTCCATTCTCAGTAGAAGAAGCTGCTGTGTGGTAGATCACACCATTATCCCAGTTACAATGGAAAGACTAAAATAAGTTGATTGCAGTACAGGTGCCCATATTCCCCCAGAAAAAAGAAGGAAAAAATAACCAGCACACAAAAGGGCTACAGATATGGCTTAGCAATAAAGCATTCACATGGTACTCAAACCCTAGATCTTAGTACCAAAAAAAAAAAAAAACCCAGAGTCATATATTACCATTATCATCATAATAATTTTCTCATATTTAATTGATCTCACAATCAATTCTCTCAAACTTAACTGACCCAAATCCCAACAGTTTATCCACAAACTGATCTTAAACTTTATTAGGAAGAAAAAAGGCAAAATGGGATTTTTTTAAAGGAACATAAAAGGAAAGCCAGGCATTGGTGGTCACACCTGTAATCTTAGTTATTCAAGAAGTTGAGATCTGAGGATCATATCCCCACTAAAATACTAAAAAAATAAACAAACCAGAAGTAGAACTGTAGCTCAAGTGGTAAAGCACTATCCTTGAACAAAAAATGCTCAGGGACCCAGGCACTAAGTTCAAACCTTAGGACAACACACACACACACACACACACACACACACACACACACACACACACACGACCCAGGCTCTAAGTTCAAACCCTAGGACAACACGCACACACGCACACGCACACACACAGAACTCAGG